CTGCACAAAAACATATGTACGTTGTTACATACAAAGCTTTTTGTTTTTTTTGCATGACAAAAACAGAAGGCGAGCAGTTTTTGTGTTTGCTTCTTCTTGTTTTTTTTTTTTTTACTTTTTCGACCAGTCCAGTGGGCGTGTTTTTTTTTTGTAAATATGCTGATCAGATGTCAAAAAAGGATTTACATTTACAATTTATTATTATTTCACCAACACAGTGCTGTAATGCTATTGTTCCTTTAATTTTTGTGTTTTATTTCCCTCGTGTGCTGATTTTCACACTCATTACATTCGAAATTATGTACATATGTAAATATGCATTAAAAGGACTTACATGCAACACGTGTCGGCTTCTGAATGGCAATGTGTCACCACACTCAGTTGGTTGGCAAGTACGCGGACCTATACAATTTTCAGTTAATTGCCGTTTTTTTTTTTGCTACTGCTGGGATCTACATATATGGCTATTGTTTCTGAACTCGTGCTTGAGCACTTTACATTTTTTATGAGGGCAATTTGAGGGCAGTCTATGGCTTTTCGTATTAAATGCGTAGATATGTATATATTTTTCCCATTTGTATTATTTTGTGTCCTAATAGCTTCTTACTTATCTAAACAATGTTTATGAGCTTTATACAACATTTGGCAAAATGGTTTTTGTGAAAAGCTTTTTTTATGGCAGAAGTACACTAGGTGGTTTGCCATTACCTGCCAAAGGTCGAACGCTATTAGAACAATATTTTGCGGTTTTTGATGTTATCTGAACAGGAAATGAACCGAAGTCCCTCGAGCTTTATAGATTTAGATTAGTTTTTGTTCATTTAATATTTTTCCAAATAATAGGTTTTCTAAAGGTCTCTAAACCAGATTTTCGCTTCAGTAAAGCATTCCACCAAAAAAGCTATATTTTCATCTCCAGACTATTAAAATTTAGCCTGTAAAAAATCATGTAAATTCTAGATTTACTAAATAAATAATCACTTCCCAGATGAATTTTTATTTTAAATATTAACAGTTAAAAAATTGGTCTTTATAGAGAGTTGCTATACAGCAAAAATCCCTAATTATATCTGGCGTTTGGCTTGATGACAAGAAATCGTTGCAAGGCAAATAGTTAGGGAAAATAAGTGGGAACCAGTAAGCAGCGTTTAATTAAGCGTTTAATGTGTACATATATGTGCAAAGGTTTTCTCTCTTTTGTTTAGATATGAAGAGCAACTTATAACAGTAACATTAGAAAACAAAAATTAATAAGTTAAAATTTTAGGGAAAAAATTGGATTGCAAATAATTCGGTAAATATTGATTTTGTGCTTTTTTGCTTTCTACTATTTATATTGTATTATTTTTTTATTTCACCATGCGAAAAAACCAAAAAATTTCAAAATACACAGAGTATCAACATGTGCGCGAAATTTAGTAAAACTGAGTTTGGAGTTTTTCTCTCTGGCTTAAGGATTTTTTTAGGACTAGGAATTATCAAAGATATAATCAATTCAGAAAAATGTATTAAGTTAAATTTTTGATTTTTTTTTGATCACAAGGGCGAATAGATATTGAAAGTGCCCTTTTAATTATTTTTATTATTATTTTTTAGACGAAAGTTAGAAGGAGGAAATGGGGCATGTGCAATATTTTCAAAAATAAATTTTGAAAATGTTCAAGCACTTTCGAGGATACAATTTTAAAGTGACATTCCCAACACTTATTCATGTGCATGTGCACCAAAACTTTACAGTTTTCAATTCTACAGAATTTTCTCTTTGATTTGATACCCATATTGTCATTCTACATTTTGTTTAATAATTTATTGAAACAAATAACAATTTCTTTCAAATTTCAAAGTCATTAACAAAAATCCCCTGACGTCAGAGAGAAAAACGTAAAATGCAATTTTCCTATTTGTGTGCAAAATTTACTGTCGCACAGTGTTTTATTTTATTTTATTTCAATTTATAACTGAAATTTTTTTAATCAAACTATTTTTTCTTTTTATTTATCACTTTCTATTTTTTTAATTTTTTTTTTCATATTTTTTATTTGCATGCAACACCTGGAATAACTCGTTTTAGACAACAATCAAACAAAAAAAAAACAAAACAAAAAATCATGCAATCACAACTTTGGGCCAGCGCAACAACAAATAACGAGACAACAACGGTAAAAACTAAACAAAAAAAAAACAACATCCATATCCGCAAGTCATTCGCACCTGTTTCGGCACTTCGAGGCTATTTTGGGTTTTCATCTCGGCGCCGGTGGGTGTGCGCGAGCGCGTGAAAGTCGTACGCAGGCGTTGCATTCTACGATAATGTTTGTGCTCCTTCTTCGAAATGACTTCGACTCTCACAAAACTACTTGCTTTAGTAGCTTATGTATGTATGTATTACGTTCGCCCAGACTTAATTGATGTAGAGTTGGTTGATTGCTTAATTTTGTTTTTGATTCACCCTTCTTCTACTACTTCTTACTTTGCTTAATTTAATTCAGCTGTTTTATGCCTATTTGATTGTATTGCTTGTTTTGTATTTTACTTGTTTTGTATTTTAGTATTTTCGCGTCTTTGTTTTAATTGCGCCGTCAACACTGCATTTAACTGTTACTTAACACTCTTGGATATTTATGCTTTTTGGGCGGATGTTGAGTACTACGGGGCGTATGCGTAACTGCTTTGTTTATCACTTGGCTTCTTCTGCTTTTCCGCACTCCACTGCCGATGCTGCTGCTGCTGGTGCTGCTGCTGTTGGTGCTACTGGTGCTGCTGTTAATACTTTCTCGCTGGCGTAGTTTTCTTTGATGTAGTTGTTGTTGTTCTCTCTGCTGTTGTAAGCTCATGTTGTAATTAGCAGCACTGCTGTTGTTGATGTTGTTGTCTTTATTTTGGGCGATATCGTTCTGATTGCCGTTGTTATCGTTGACACAACAAACAGCCTGCTTTGATTTGCAATAGTAGCGTAGCGCTTGTGTGCTGTTGATTACTTTGCCAAAGGCGTGGCGCTCGCACTTAACGCTCGACGTACAAATGATTATCGTTGCGCGGCGGCGGCAAGCAGCAATTAGATAGGCAAAACATGTAGCGAAAGTAACAGCTGCTGCTTCGCCTACTTCAAATCCCATTTTCGGTGTAATGACTCGTCGTGGTTTCGTGTTTCAATTGCTTTCGTTTAGGCTGCGCAGAAGTCATTTACGATTTGATTACCACTATGCTGGTTGTTGTTGTTATATTGATGACGGTACCCAGCACTCGTGCAGATACAACCGTTGTTTGGATTGCTTTTCTCAATACTCGGTAATTACTCCGACCAATGGGAATGTTAAGTAAATCGTTGTTTTTCACAGCGTTTCTCGCATAAATTGTTGGTATTTTATTTGATTGTCTTTACGTCAGTTCTTACAGCAGCCAGCTTGCAATGAGCAACATGCGGTCACTCTATACGAGGTAAAAGCTTAATGGAGAAGGAAATGTGGAAAAGGAAGAGAGAATACACAAATTCTTAAATGAGTTTGATTATTTAAAGGAGGCTTAGATTTCGTATAAGGAGGCATAAAAGATGTCAAGACAAAATTTTACCACTTTTATACCAAACTTTTTTTTCGCACCTTGAAGCAATTTATGGCGATGGAAGAACTTTTTACTATAAGTATGTAATTCCGTTTTGACTGTAATTAGTTAGCGATTATAAACTTATAAACTTACTTAACGAAATCTTAACTTATGCTGTTAGATAGCAAGTATTTGCTAAATAATTTTGATTACCTATAATTACTTATAATGAAAAGATATACAAAATGAACATATTTCCGAAATCGTACGAATTCAAATACCACAAATTTCAGAACATGCCTGATAACAACTTAAATACTCTTACGTCTTCGGATATTTTTTTTTAACTAATGTATTGTATTTATGTGTTGGAAATCCAATGAAAAGCGATATGTAAGTTTTTCCTTATACAAGCCAAAATTTATGCATAAATATTTAAACGACAAACAGTAAAGGTTTAAATATTTCTCAATTTATTTCTGTTCTGTTTAGTTTTGCATTAATTGAAGTGCATACTTACATATGTATCGTTGTACATTAGAATGGGTCGCAAAAAATAAGTTTGAAAACTTACTTTAAGATAATTTTTGGGGTCATACAAATTTTCGTTCTTGACACTGGTTGCAGTGTAGTTATACAAAACTGTATGTCGTATTCGATCCGTTCTAATGTACATATGTATGTAAGTATGTAAAAAATTCAAAGCTGTGTATATATTTTGGATATATTTGTGGTTAAGTACTCTGTAGGAAATCCATAACTAACTTTAAAGAGCCAAAACGTCATTACGGCTACGCTTTGTCGACCAAGCTTAAAAATCCCATGCTGGCTATGCCAATATATTTTTAAAATTCAGTGATTTAAGAGTGCCGATATTGGGAAATATAAATGTATGGGACTATTACATACTCAACGTTATAAAAAGTGGGGATTCCACTCCAATGGCCCTCGATTTTTGTTCTTCTTAAGTAATTCATTTGCATTTGATTTCGGCGGAGCTATTTATTGCGATTTTGCTTTTTGGAGTAAAATCCCAAAATCATAACTTCTAAAACCTTTAGGAATTCATCTCTGAAAAAATTTCATTAAAGAAAAATTTTAAAATTTTTTTCACTGATGTGATAATTAGGGCAGATTGTGTTTTTAAAATTACAAATCACGTTATCAAAAAAAAAAAAATTTATAAAAAATTATAAAAGACAAGAAATTTTTAGAACTTATTAGCTTTCCAGAAAACATGATTTTCATTAAGCCAAGAAGCTACATATTTTATCGTTATGCCAGCGTACTTCAATCTCAGTTTTTGTAGCCGCGGTGTAATATGATACATATTTTGAAATTTGTAATCTGACTACTTTGGAAAATTGGAAAGAATGTCAATAAAAGCTCTAGCAATCCCTACAAACTACAAATTGCGCAACGAACTGCAAAAAGCCTAAAATAGAAATTTAATTCCGTATCAATATTTTAAACTTGCGTAGTATTTATGCATTGTTATTGCTTTCAGTGAAAAAAAATTGGAGATATTGATTAAAATTGCGCCTTCATGTCCACTGCGCTCTATGAAAATTATTCAATAAAAGTTTTAAATTCAATCTACGACCATGCAA